GAGGCTCAGGGCAGAGCATCAGCAGACGCAAGGTGCTGGTGCAGGCTGGCCTGGGCCCCGGAGCACCTAAGGCCTCACAGGGCTGCTGGTGGGCAGGGCGACAGAGCCCACTCATCCTGAAAGGGAAGAAGGGTCACAGGCAGACAGAGCTAAGGGAAGGGCAGGGCACCTGGTTCCCCGGGTCTGTGGGTTTTAGTGGACAGCTGATGGTAAAACAGACATGAAGAGCTGCAGGTGTCAGAGCAGAGAGCAGCAAGGTTGGTGGCAGCTCAGCAAGCTCTGCCCCAGTAGGACAGGAGGCAGCTCGGGACACCGCCATTTCTGTAGGAGGCTCAGATCACAGGCATCAAAGTGAACTTCACCTGCAAACCCGCCACACTGTCCGGGCCCTCCCCACTCCCTCCGGCCTTTCCTACAGGGAACAGTAGGCATAACACTGGGTCCCCTGGTCATTAAGGGCCACTGTGGATGGACTGCACTCAGCTGGCTGTTCTGTGGACTACCCAAGATGCACCAGGCCCCCAAAGGCCACAGAGAAGGGGAACTCTCCTCAGGTAAACAAAGATATTCAATTAAAATTTAAAAATCCTGGGCCTCCCACTCGGACACTGGGCTGAGGAGTAAAATTGCCCCTGCGGGCACAACTGCTGTCATTTGATCATAAGCTGCCATGAAATCGTGTCTCCCACCCCTCAGGACAGGGATGCTGGAAAAGTTCAAGCTCCTGGCTACATGCACGCTTTCTTTTTTCTAGAAAAAACATCTAGAGTTGAAGGTGGCTTTGCTGAATTGAAGTTCAAGGCTGAGCAGAACCCCACTCTGGGGGAAGCGACTGGGAGCTGGTGGGCAGGGAGCACCACAGAGAAAAGCAGCGGTCAGACTGACCGACCCAAGGTGCGCTCCAGGGCTGGGGGTAATCTTGTCTCCAAAATGAGTATCTTAATGATTTAAAAAGTTGATCCAAAGTGTCACCAGCACATGACATTGACCCTGCCAAGCTTATTTTTCCCCTTTGTGATTAAGCTTTTTTTCCTTTTGTGATTAAGCTATTCTTCCAGCAACCTGTTGGCCGTTAATTTTTCTCCCAGGGAAATCAGCCTGGTTCACCTGGTGTGCAGCTGTCATGTCTGCTCTAGACAGCCCAGGGTGCTGGCTTAAATCCCCAGCAGCTGTGACCGCTCCCAGTCATTTCCAAAAAGGAAGGACAGCTTTTGCCACAAAGAAATCTTTGCATATAGCACATTTATCACTACAGTATTTACAGAATTTCACATTCAAAACATAACAAAATTTCTAGTAAGGACAATATAATCCACCTGCAAAGAGAATATGATTTACACATATTAACACACACACACGCACACACGCCCCAGGAAGGCCTGGCGACAGAACACAGGCCAAGAGGCTTGCAGCACTCAGGATCTGGATCTTCCCAGGAGAAACGCCAGCAGAGCCCAGGTAGTGACCACTCCACAGACTCTGTAAGACAAGGACRTGGGTCAGAAGCCTGGTTCTTCTGTGACACTGGCAGGTCTCAAAGTAGCAGGCAGACTCCCCCTTCTTCCCGCCAACCCCAGAAGTCCTTCCTTTCTTCCTGGTGCCAACACTGAGCTGCTTGCTCGTCTCTCAGGGTCCATGGCTCTGGGATACAAACAGTTCACCTTCCCTAGTGATTTAGATCAGAGGTTGGCAGGAGGACAAAGAGCTGTTTGGGAGGCTACCATTTCTCTTCTGCAGTGCTGTCCACTACAGATCCAGCTCCTATATAGCACACCAGAATCCTCRTAAAAYTTCAGTAACTGCAAGTCTGTCTTTCRAGTTACTCAGGGCGAACCTTGACTGTGCATGTTATGGTCCAGGCTATATGGGCAATAACCAAACAGACTCCATTTTACCCTGAGTCTCCAYGTCATGTAAGAAATGCTTCTGCCATGGGAAGGCCCCACCCCTGTACCCATTACCTAGCATAACATACTTGACAACACAAAATAGCAATTCTTATACAATGTCAAATTATTCTCTTTGGTTTCCATTTTTCCTGGGCAATCTACAGAGATTGATTGTCTATACATTCGTAACCATTCTCTAATGTGTACTGAAATAGGGTCATTTTGATCTCCTTCGCCTCTGCTTGCCTGCTGCTATACCAASCTGAAAAGTCCCATGAGCATTACCAATGTACCCATTGCATTGTCTMRCTAACTGCCCAATTCAGCTTCTGTACCTSCTAGCTTGCAGTTATGTCAACCCGGATGTGATTTTTGCCTTTAAATATCCTAAAACGCTCAGTCTTGGGGCTGTTCCTTGCAGAGACAGTTATAACCCCTCCTGTGGGGGGCAGTCACYGGCCAGCCGGCTAAATACTCTTCAATCTGGACAAAACTAGGACTTGGTGTTTTTTCTGAGCAACCTGCCTCACAACAGTGCACACAGCTCTTCTTGGTTCTGCCACTGGCTCCTTCTCTGTCCCCACTACCACCAGGCTGGGCCATACCACAGACACATTGGCCTCCTGGTGCCCCTGCCCTCCACCTCCTCTYTAGCCTACCWYAGCAGAGAAGACAGTTGGATGGTGCCMTTCCTCTGCCCAAACCAAGTGATCCTCAATTCCTCCAAGTGGCCCTTACTATGCCCACTCAGACAGGACCCAGTTCCTCCTTGCCTCGTCCATCCTCGTTTGCCTACGTCGGCTCACAGTGGCCTCATCGGCCCTCGGTGAGGTGCCTCCCCAACTCAAGGACCCTGCCCTGCACTGTCCTGAGCACCCACTGGCTCACCCTGACATCCTTGAGTTTTTAACACGACCCATCCTCCATCACCTCCTTTGAACAGGACCCCTCAGACCTGCCAGACCCTCTCTTCTCTCATTTTTAATAAGCACTTGCCAACTGACACATCACAAGGTCCCCTGGTTAGTACACTTGCTGATTGCTGCCCATTAGTATGGAGCTCCGCGAGAGCAGGACTTTTGTTTTACCCACTCACGAAGCCCTAGGACCAACAGTGCCCAACACTGCAGATGCTCCAGTACCTGTAGAACACCAAGTGACCCACAGTTCACTGCACTTGTCAGCAACTCCCTAACGGCCCTCACCAGTGAGCGAGCTGGGCTGAGTCAGACCCAATGGGGCTACAGGCGGAAGAGCAGCCTCCAGCCTGCCACTTACTGTAACACGCAGTTGATGTTGGGGGAATGTCTCCAATACCGGTATAGGGAGACCTGCAGGGTTGGGTGGCACCTGTACTCCTTCAGGATACTGCGGGCACTGCCAAAAGAAATTTGCCAAGGTCAGCCACACTGTATGGCCACAGGGACTGCTCTTAGGCCTGAAGCAGGGGGAGGCAAAAAGGATGACATGGGGAGAGAGGAGGGACTTGGGGCCTGGGCACCTACTCCTTAAACTTATTGGTCAGGAGCAGGAACTGGCTTCGAGTGAGTCGCCTGACATCGAACTTGCAGAGATTCTGGAACTCTCGGTAGACTTGCTGCTCGCTGGCCCCGGGCCACCTCCTAACAGTGAGGATGAGGATGGGAGGCCGAATACTGGGATAATCTGGGCCAGAAAAATTCTAAGAAACATGAAGAACAAAAGATTTCCCACAATTTTTGCTGACATCTTATGCAATTAGATAATGTTTGAAGGGACTAGGAAAGACTGTTTGGGGCTGGAAGCAGGCAAAGAGAAGGATGGGTGGAGCGAGAACGTGTGGGTTTGGGCAGAAAAACACAAGAAACAAGCAGCTTCACAGGGGTGTAAATGCCCTGTCCAGCTCTCGCACCCCTTCAGCCCAGCGACACCAGGCCACCTCCACAGGGAGTCTCTGAGCAAGGTAAGGGAGCAATATGAAACCTACTCACGATTTTAGGGACCCCAGCTCGGATAAGATTGACTTGGTTCACGTAAGGAGCCAGCACGTCGAGGTACTGAGGGAAGGATGGCTCAGGCATGGGTCCGCTGCTGCACGGACAGAGAAGCCAAAGCGCTCAGGCATGCACTGACCCACTGTCCTCGCCATAGCCAAGGATCTGGCGACACAGGGAAACGGCTGCCTTGGGCAATTCTCCACCCCCAAGTCTCGTGCCCATGTCAGTGGGCTTCTCAACTGGTGATTTCAAAGAGCCCTCTCCAGAAAGAGCGGAGCTTCTGGAGGGTCACCCTCTGTGACAGTTTTGTGAAGCTCCCTGACCAGCACTGGAGGCAGGCTCAGAGAGCGAGAAGCCTGTGAGGGGGCTCCACTTCATCATTCCCCAGCACGACACCACTTGACCCCAAATGGGTATCCCTCGCCTGACTTTACTGGACCTTCAGCCCCACCCTTCCAGGGACCAGCCCTTGTGTGCAGGCCCTGGGGGAGCACTGGTTGGGAACCAGGCAGGCCTGGACAGCCAGAGGCTTCTCTAGATAGAGGAGAGCTTTCAGCTGAATTGAAAGGCGCCCACCCTTCTGCTGGAAGCTTCTTCCTGCCCAGCACACACCATCTGCCAGTGGGCACTTGGGCATTCAGACATTGCCAAACTACAGGAAGGAGGAAGGTGGGCTGGTGGAATTTTTCCCCCCTGGAGGTGGGGAGGAGGAGGGCCTTTCTAATTTTTAGAAAAAGAAAAAAAAAATTCAGAAAAAATTCTTTGATGCATTACGAGACTCCAGACTGGTAGATTTCTCATTTAAGTTATAAAACTCATATCAACATGACATAGAACATCTGTATTTATCACATCCATTGCCAAAAATGGACAAGTATAGGTAGTTCACGGAGCACAGATCAAAGTTGCCTTGCTAGGTCAGTCCTGAGGAGCAGGCCAGAGTCTGATTAGCTCCTTCGCTGGGCCTGCCAAGTCCTAAAGCAAGCGTCCCCAGCCTGGCTCTACGGAAGGCACATGTACAGCATGCACTTGGTGTCCCTGTTGTGCCCAGTGCTGGAGGCATGGGGGATGCTGCTGTCACAGGAAACACGTTCAAAATTCCAATTTGGAGTTTCATGGGGTAACAGCAAACACACCAAGCTGGGAAGCACTGAAGCAGACAACAGAACCCAAGTCAAACCCTTGGTCCCCGGACATTACTTCTCCCAGTGCCAAGAGGGGGGCAGGACCAGCCCCACCCAGGCAGGAGGCAGGGGTGGCAGGAAAGGGCTTCTGTGAAGCAAGGCCACTGTGTTGGCTGCCACACAGGCAGAGGCTGGATGTTACTCTCCCAGGGCTGCAGTATTCTTCCTCTTTGGGGGCCCTGGGACGTCTTGGTTTCCTGACTGCTAACTGAGCGACTGGAGGGAAAGAACACTCACCTGTGCACCCTCTGAAGGAGCAGGTGAGCCACTTTCAGAAGAACTGGAAAAAAGAAACAAAAATGCTAGAGATGTCACAGGCCTTCTTGAAATATGCAAACTCACACTTTCTATGCAACCCGGCATGATATAAACGAGAACCTAGGGAGGGCACCCACCAAGGCCAGTCTCCTCTGGAAGGACGGCAACTCTTACCTGACCCACAAAGAAAGGCATCATATGCTGCTTCATGGGGGCACTTGTTCTGGGCTGAAGCATTTTTCCATAATAAGGAGAGAGATTAAGTAAACCACGAGCAATGCACTTGGGAAAGAAGTCTCTCCACCCCCACCACCCTCACGTCCACAGCAACCACAGCATGCTCGACCACCAGCTACCATGGGTGCCTTCTTCCAGCTCACAAGCCAGCTTCCCTCTGGTCCTCCCCGCATGGACAAAGCCAGGAGCCCACGTCAAGGGGGAAACAGACAGCCCTGGGGCTTTCTGGGATCACACATCTTGAGGGCAGGAGTTATGCAGAGCAGGACAGGAAGACAGAGAAGGAAAYCCTGAACTGCACAGCCTCCAGCCTGGGAGACCAAGGTCCAGGAAAAGCCTCAGCTCTGCCTGCAGCACTCCTGTGCAAGGAGCTGGGGCTCGTGGGAACATACCATATTTTTCACATTTGCTCGCATGAACAATCACTGGTCCAGAATTCTTGGTGGGATTCAAGTTACTATTAAGAGAATTAAAAATAGGATAAAGAACAACTTGCTGAAAATTCCTTCTTGTTCCCCCAAGTCCCTGAAGTTATAAATGTGTCTTCAACACGTGTCTTAAACATAGGTCTAGTCATATACAAATAAGGTCTTGGTAACTAGGCAACAGGACAGGTGACAGACCAGCAGTGTTAGAGGCTCCAACTGGATCATCCTTGGCATTCAGGAAATGCTTAGCCTGAACCCAGCCCAGAGAAACAGAGGAGCCATCTCTGCCCTCTGGAGCTTGCCATCTAGTGGCCTGAGTGACGAGTACAGAGACAATCACGTCTTCCCCCCATAAAGGCAATGCCGAGGAGTAGACGGTGCACTSTGGGCCACTTTGGCCTAGAGGCATTAGGAAGGCAGTGGTGCAGGAGAGAAGAGGCAGAGCCAGGGGCACAGAACCAGGACACACTGTGCAAAGCGTGGCCAAGGCCCACAGTGGAGGCAGGGCCAGGCAGAGAAGGAGCTCAATGGCACGTGGGGGCCTCAGGGAGTGCCAGAGACTCAGCCACGAACAGAACTCAACCTGTGATTTTAAAGACCACGCAAGTGGCGGTATGAGAAATGAAGTGGGGCAGGCCACAGGCTGGGATACCAGTGAGGGCTACCACCACAATTAGAATGGAAAATAAAGGCCTGAACAACAGCAGTGACCCCGAGAATGAAGAAGGGGAGACTTTAAGGAGATTTATGGAGCAACATCAACTAGACTTGGCTGACAGACACAGGCGGCCCAGCTCTGGGACACTCGGCTCTGGGGTGTGAAAGCAGCGACAGCATCCAACAGTGAGGAAACCATCCCACCCGTCTTTCAGAACCTGTGTGCTTCCTCTCTCTGAGCCCAACTTCCTCGTCTGTAAGGCAGGCATGGCGACCTTGCCCACACTACAGGATTAGACGGACTGTCCACAATGATGGACAGCATTTAAGAAACATGGAGTGAGGGCGAAGCAGTGTCTTAGTCCCTGTGGTGGATAAGCTCATTTAATCCTCACAAAGACCTTGTGAGGTGAAACTAAGGCACAGGGAGATTCAACAATTTTCTGCAGGTAACTTGCAAAAACCAGTGAGGGCTGGATAAACTGGGATTTAAGCCAAGGAAGACTAGAACCAGAGCCTGTGTATTAGAAGACAAAACAAAACCCTCTCTGGTCCCACCTCTTCACACAGGCTCCCAGTATCATATCTGGTGCTACAAAGACAGCAGATACGCAGGCACAGGGATAAGATGGAGGAACTGAGATCAACATGAAATCGAAGGTGCTGCAGGTCAAGAAGGCAGCTGGTACATGAAGTGCCCCAAGGCTGAGGAGGTCTAGACCACAGTGCACCCAGGTGGCAGCAGCTGCAGAAAGGGAGTGGGTGAGGCCCCCCTGGGACTGAGCAAGAGGAGATGGAGCCCACGAACTGAACTGAGTAATGCTCATGGAATGGGTGAAAAATCCACATGCACCCATACGTCCACCCCTGCACATATGCACCCACCCCAGCCAGAAAAGAGAATCCAGAAGGGGATATGAGCCAGAAGAAGAGGGAGAGGACAAGGGTCTCAAATGCCCCAATGAAGCAAAAACCTGTCCAGGACTATGTGCCACGTCTTGTCCCTTACGTACACCATTCTACCATCTTAGACGAGAGGCGAGCCTGCTCTGGTAGGCTAAGCCAGTGCAGGGTAAGGCGTCACGTGAGAGAACCCCTGACAGCACTGGACAGAGGGAAGGTGAAGGCCACTGAAGGGACTCGCTGCACAGAAAACAGGTGCCACATCTCTGAGTAACATGGGTGCGCTGCAGGCGGCCCCCCAGCACTGACTCTCCTAGAGTGAAGAGGTGACGACCCTCCCACTCCACCTGCCCCCTCCCATGTTTTCCACTACAGGCATGGAGGGCACCATGCAGTCACAACAGTAGCCAAACAAAAGGGATTCTGTTTGATTTTGAGTTTTAAGTGCTAATGCCGAGAGAAACCAGAGAAACCGAGGGAGAGGCTAAAGGGAAGGACAGGCGAGCGGGAGGCTGCAGAGAGGAGGGAACCAGAAGGGCAGAGGGCCACTGCGGGGAGGCAAGCCCCGGCTGCCCGGCACACACGGAAGGGCTTGGGTCTGCTGGTGAGAAAGATGGCAAAACAAAAGTGCTCCCGAGGGCAGGCAGGGGCTGAGGGCTTTCTTCCCATCTTTGGCCTTATTCTTGGAAATGGGGGCCAAGAGGGCTGCAGAGATGGGCTGAGGCAGCAGGACCTGGAGGGGACACCAGCTCCAGGAAGCAGTGCGATGGGTGGGAAGAGCACCCACCAGACCAGAGGGACCTTGAGCCACACAGCAGCTGCAGCCACAGGCCCCCTGCCCCAGAACCAGCTCCGGAAGCGCCCCTCACCTGCTCAGTACTTCATACACCTCGGAGAGATTGGAGACCCGTGGGAAACGCAGCTCCTGAAATTGTGAAGAACAAATCAGCGAGAAAAAGAACACTGTGCTGTCGTCCATCTGCTTCAGGTCTTGTCCAGTAGCCGCCAAAGTGTCCTGGAGAACCCCACGCCCACCACCTCTTCCTTCTCCTCCAGCGTCCCAGCTGCCCTTACTCCTCAAATGCAGGGCCAGGGACCCAGATCCTGGGTTTCCCCAGAGGGCTCCCCACAGTCCAGGCTGGGAACGACTGCCCACCACCACCTCACACCACCTCCCTCCGCATTTGAGCRTAGGGGTCTAGAAATACGGAACCCGAGGCGCTCSACRGARRCCTGGACACTTGTGGWATACCAGGCATTCTAGAAMGAGAGGGACGGGGATTGCCTGGCCTCGGAGTCCTAGGAGTTCATCAAAGCTAGAAACCCATGAAGTACAAAMACTAGAGCCTTTCTGGACAAAGAGGGACCAAGGGACCCACTCCTATTTTTGTGGCTTTTTTCTTGAAGAGCTCAATCTATCACCCTAAGGCTTGATTTCCCCCACCCCTCTGATAAAGTGGAACTGAACCCAGGGGGGCTTTACCACCGATTATACTCACAGACCTGTTATTATTTGAGATGGGACTCAAGTTGCTTAGGCTGCGTTAAATTTACAATCCTCCTGCCTCAGCCTTTTAAGTCACTGGGATTAGGGTATATGCCACCACGCCTGGGCCTTTTTGTTTTTGAGGTAGGGTCTCACTCAATTTGCCCAGACTGGCCTTGAACTTCCAATCCTCCTGCCTCAGCTTTCACCACACCTGGAACCTAAGGCTTGAAGACATTGATCCAATCCCCTTTCTCTGGTCCTCAATTTCTAAGAAGCATTTAAAACAGTTGGGCCCTTCCCTTTTCCATGTGTAGAGGACAACAACCCAGACTACATGACAGTCAMCTGGGGAGCTTTCAAAACGGCCTGGCCCCATTGCAGACCACACAGGAAGCTAACAGGGGCTAACTTACCTAGTGATTCCAACTCACTGTCCCCAGAGAAGCCATGATCTCGYGCTCAGCAAAGATGGTTTCTCAAGACTTTGAGAGGGGACCCTTCTACCCTCATGTACTTTGATTATGTTGTAAATGTTTATGAAAAATAGATCAGGCTCTGAATCAAATCATTGCACTGTCCACTCTAACCATCCCAATTATATACAAATGAGTCAAAACCTGGGAGCTTGAATGGGGGAAGGAAAGAAATGACAACTAGTATGATGAACAACCATAGGTGACAAAATATGAAAGGAAATGGATACCGATTTTTACCGATTTTATAAGAGTTCAAGGAAAGTTTTTGAAAAGTGTTATTAGTGTGGACACAATTAATCAAGCAATTTCATTCATTACCTTCCAGATATCCTTTGTCACATTCTTGGTATCAATGAGAACAGGAAACAGGTCATGGATATTCTGCTTAAACTGATCATAGCTTTCTGAGGGGAAAGATCCAGGGAGTGAAAAGGGAGTGAGTTTGTTGGTAAAATGGGAAGGAGCCACCATCTAACCTAGCTTGCCACCAACGCCAACTAATAAAGCAAATGAAACGAAATAGAAATTGAAAACCACCTTATTTCTGACGATTGAGGATTTTTTAATCTCAAGCTACCCTCACCACTTACAGGTGTAAAGAACAAGAGGTTCCCCACTAAACTCAAGATATCCTCTAATGCAGTTTGAGAAGCTCTAGCCAATGGGATAAGAGGGGGAGAAATGGTGTTTTGGAAAGGCAGATAAAAGAAAAATCATTTATAAATGACTGTTCAGAGAATATCCAAGAAAAATCAGCTAAAAGTCATTTGATGAGAAGTATACTGATAAAGGGGGAAAAACTATTAACTGACAAATTCAAAGTCATASCTGTATGTAGTTTAAAAGAGGTTTAGTGCAAACAAACCAAACCCACAACACACACCTCCCAAACGAGGGGCCCTGTAGCCCTCTTCCTGCCTCCACATCCCCTAGTCCACAGGGCAGCCACTTCAGTCCTCCTCCCTCAGGTCTCATGCCCGTGCTGCGATGGGGGCACCTGCRGCTGGTCACTGCTTCCCGCTGTCCCCACCCCATAGCACAAGCTCCCCACAGGCCTGCCTGCACCACCCTGGGGCGCCCTCACGAGGGGTGCTGTGGCAGCCGGGTGCCTCTTCCTTTCCTGCACTCTGTCTCCCTGCCGTGAATACTTTGTCCCACAGTTTGCTCAGGTTTTTGTTGAGTGTACACTGTTGATTTTACCCCTAATCCTCCTGTAATTCTCTCAATATGCTCAGATCAACCACGGAAAGGCGATACCCACAAGACAGCATCACACGACATTAAAAATGTCATGCAATAGGTTTAGTAGGTTTTAATGACATAAAATAATACTTCCAAATACAAAACCAAATGTTTATGATTAAATATGATTTCTGATTTTGCCAGATCTTACACAATGGGCCTGAGCATCTTCAGGAATAGAGGAAGGATACCAATGCAAATTTAGGTTTTTCTCCCTTGAGGAAGTCTCTGGTCTTGTCTCTGAGCAGATGGTAACAGATCTGAGGACTGGACCCTGCTGCACCTCTGTCGACACTGGGAAGTTCAGGCCAGGTGGCAAATAGAGATACAGGAAGGAGATGACAAGTCTGTCCCTACCTGGGAGAGGTCTGAAGAACTTCTCATGGAGATGCAACAGATCCATCATCATATTATGCCCCACTAAGGGCTACTTGGAGTAGATCAGCAGGTGAGAGAAATGAAATTTTAAAAATTATAAAGACAGACACCAAAGACTAAGATTCTTGTGAAGGATGCATCTTTGGAACCCACTGCCATTGTTGTCACGGGACTGTTTCATCCTCTCTGTCTTATATGAGGGAATGGGACTGCTTGGGGGAGGTCAGTGGAGGGTGGGGCAGGACAGACTCAAGGAAGGACTTAAGCAGGGTTCCCTGCTGTGAAGCAGACAGCTCTTTCAAGAAACTTTAGGTAATTACTGGAATCCCTGTATTATAGGAAGAGGCAAAAAAAAGTGATTTCTTGTGGAGAGCCTTTCCCCACACTAACCCATCACGATTTGGTAAATGGTTAGGTCAAGGAAGCCAGTTATCAAGGAGAAGAAAGGACTCGTCTTAAGAAATCAGATTTTACTGTTGAAGAATCCTTCAACATCTAGGGCCAGAAATACAGAAGACTGTGAAAGTCCAAGAAAAGAGATTTTTTTTCCCTACCTTCTGGGCTTTCACCAGCATCTGGAAAAAAACAGAAAAACCCCTCGCAGAGAGGAGAATCTGCTCCTTCCAACAGCTGGCTCGATCACAAGAGGCGTTCTCAAGGTACCAGCGATGCTGCCGACTCACCTTCTTCACCACCACCTGACATGAAAAAATAGACAAATAACAAAGCAGGGGACAAGCCTTTTAGAGAGGCTGGATTTGGGTGGGTGAGAGGGGCAATGAAGCCGCTAAGGACAGCCCATTTCAAGGGAGGACTCACGCCCTGATCTTTCAGCATCGTCCAGATGTTGGGGAGGGCCTGCCTCAGCACCAATTGGACCTCAAAGGCCTGGAACCCTGTGGGGCAAACACAAGGCATGACTGAGTGGCACAGCCCTTCCTCTTCAAGAGCCCCAAGAAGACGACGGGCTGGGGTGGTGGCACAGTGCAGAGCACTTGCCTAGCATGATTGAGGCCCTGGGTTCAATCCTAAGCAACAGATATAAACAAAGGTATTGTGTCCGTCTACAACTT